CTCTCTCTCTCTCTCTCTCTCTCTCTCTCTCTCTCTCTCTCTCTCCCTCTCTAACTTAAATAAAATTACTAACTTGTAAAGCATGTCTTTGAAGAGTAAGGGCATCCCGATATATCTGAGAATCTGGTTCATTGTATCGACATGCATTCTGAAACATTAATGTGAAGTCTCCCATCATGTCATCAAATGTCATGTATGCTCCATTTTTCCACTTGTGAAGAATTTTTTCTAGATCAATTGGTTGTTTTATCACCTGGAAATGAACACAGCATTATCAAGTTATAGAAAAAATGATTTGATTTGTTTATTATCAATTCTTTTCCTACATCCCTGTAAACAAGTCCATGTTTAAAGTGTGGATAACCAACAACCAAGTTTGCTCAAAATAATTAACATATTTCCTAGCTTACAAGTAACAGTGGTATGTAAGTCACACCTCTTTTTTCAAAGGTTTCTTAAAATAAGGCAGGTATATCTATCAAGATAACATGACAATAAAAGTCAAGAGGGTTCATTTAGCCTATCAATAGGTAATAATATTATTCTATTCTTTATGCTTTTTCAAACATTTCTGGAAATGAAAATCAAAGATCATGTTATTGGAAAAGCACATTACTTTAACAAAAAAAAAAATCATTCAAACAGTAGGATCTCTTTTCTGTATTCTATTGTAAAAAGATGGTTCTTGTTCTGACCTTCAGGCTGGTGACAGCTATCTGTCTAGGTGGAATACATTCATGATGAACTGTTCTCAAAGTCCTTCAAAAATTATCCATGCCTTAAGGCATCAAAAAACAACAAGAACAACAACCTCTATGTTCTGGCGAACCATGGCAGCGCGCTGACTTTGAGCGCGGGAGTTCGATACATCAGGCCAAATCACCAGCTCGCCGCGCTTAGGCGCGCTGCCGCGGCGTACAGCCACAGGCCACTTTTCGAGCGGTTTGTTTTCATGCCTATTGGTGTCACCCGTTGTGAAGGGGTTAACTTCTTACTTCAGGGTACTGCTATAGTTGTCACGGAATGCTGACCTGTCCTTCCAGGCATGCCTAAAGCCATCATGGCTCACTATGAGGGACGGCAATCCCCCATCATGGCTGTAGGCCTATATGATGAAATGTTTTTGAAGTATTTTGTATGTGTGTAAGTAGTAATTGTGTTTGAGCAAGTTTTTTGCATGTGCTTATTGTTGTGTTTGTTAGCATATGTAATTGTGTGTATGTGTGGAATTCTGTGTGTGAATCTCAGAGAGAGAGAGAGAGAGAGAGAGAGAGAGAGAGAGAGAGAGAGAGAGAGAGAGAGAGAGAGAGAGAGAGAGAGAGAGAGAGAGAGAGAGACAGAGAGTGAAATGTGAAATGTAAAGTGTGTGTGTGTGTGTGTGTGTGTGTGTGTGTGTGTGTGTGTGTGTGTGTGTGTGTGTGTGTGTGTGTGAGTGAGTGAGTGAGTGAGTGAGTGAGTGAGTGAGTGAGTGAGTGAGTGAGTGAGTGAGTGTGTGTGTGTGTGTGTGGTATGAGTTTGTGAATGTGTTTTTGTTGTGTGTGTCTGTCAGCTACGTGTGTGTTTGACACCCATCGGTGTGTGGAAATCTGTGCATGCAACCCTGTGTGCATGTGCATGTCTAAGTGGATAATTGTATGTATGCAAGTTTGTATTTTTGGTTATATCAACGTGTGTTGATGTGACGTGTGTACTTACAATGTGTGTGTCCAGAAATCTGTGCATCTGTGCATCACAGCAGAATCCCTGTTCTCAACATAGCCTCCCAAGAATGAGGACAACGTCCTTCTCCTGGTGAAAAAAGGACCATGTTCCCAAGAATTTCTGATAAAATGGCCATCCTGGGGTCATAGCTGACCTGCATGTGTCCAGCACAATCATTTAACATCTTCAAGTGCTTTTCTACTAACAATCAGTTTCATAACTTACACATTAGTATTTCTCTTTATTTGTATTCATATTGAGGCGATATTTCTTGAAATGAGAAATCAGAATGTATAACTATTTATATATTTTTCTTTCATTGCCATCGGTATGCAACCACCCATCCACCTACAGTTTCATCCAACACAAGAAGTTGATGTTCAAATCCAAGCAAGGATCTTTGCATGGTGATGAGGATACAGACATGTCACTGTTACTGTGATTACTCGTCAACAGATCCCTTGCCGTGGTCAAAGATCTTTGCAGAGGTCATGGTGAGGGATTATTTCAATCAGCTAACAACTCACCTCACCAATGGCACAATGGCTGGGGACATCTTGTGTTTCCAGTGTACATTGGGTAGGAATAAAGCAACATGCCCTAATCCACCAAGGTACTTTGAGGCTTGGACTCATGATTTTGAATATATCCTTTTTGTGAAAACTGATTTACCCTCATGGCAAAGGTAATACTGAGAGTAATAAATCTGGTATAATTAGAAAGTCTGGAATCTGTACTGAAAATTGTAATCATTATATGTGCTGAGATTAAACCCTAGTTTGCAAGCACACTACACTTA